TTAACCAAAGGATGCAAGATCACATAATGAATGAAATTATCTTTTTCATGTAAGGTTGAAACCAATTTCACATCTGCCAAGTCTGTTGGTATTTTGGAGTTGATAAATAATTTGTTTATTCATTTTCAAGAATTCTCTTTGCAATTACTTTTCTTTGCATGTTGTTGGGCTTGGAAGGCCTATAAACGAGTTCGAGCTTAAGGGTACTCGAGCTCGAGCTCCAAGTCTTAATGAGCCGACTTGAGCTGGATTGTTAAATAAACGAGTCAGAAATCGAGCTCGAGCTCGGCTCATTTATCACTATTAAGGAGTCGAGTTCGAGCTTTAGCGAATCGATTTCGAACTTTAACGAGTCGAATTACAAAAAATTACATAAAAATCTTCTTTTTCGAGCGGTATAGGGCCGAGCCGAGCTTGTTTATCATTTTTTTTTTTTCATTAATAAATTGTAAAACAGAGGCTTAAAAAACACAGAGAAACAGAGGCTTCGAAAACACTCGTATGAATGAACGGAGGGCAGACATCATTTATTAAATTCATGTTTAAATGTATAAGAGAATCTCATCTTTTTCCAGTCATCGGTTTCTCCATTCATCATCACAGTCTTTACCCAAAACGCAGCCATCGTTTTTGCCTTACACGGAGGATGTTCTTGCGTCCCATCTCGCGCCGCTATTACAGCAAAAGGGCCCTCGTCCTCCCTTCATCCTCCGTCAAACACAGCAAATCCACGCGCAGATCACCGTTAATGGCCTCCACAAAATGGGCATTTTGGGCACAAGGGTTTTGGGCATGTACATACTCTGCAACAGTTACTTCGATGCCAAGGTCTTGTTTTCTCAGCTTCAGTTGTCCTACGCCGCCCCTTGGAATTGGATGATTCGAGGGTTCACCACCATGGGATATCACGAACAAGCGATTTTGTTCTACTTGAAGATGCTCGTGTTCGGCACGAACCCCGATAAGTACACGTTTCCATACCTAATCAAGGCTTGTGGCGGTCTACGTGCTGTTGATGTCGTCAAACACGTCCATCGTATGGTTAAGGATTTGGGATTTGAGCAGGATGTGTATGTGGGCAGTGCTTTGGTCAAATTCTATGCCGAGAATGACTGTTTGGAACGTGCGAGACAAGTGTTTGATAAATTGCCACAAAGGGATATCGTTTTGTGGAATGTGATGCTTCAATGTTACTTAAGGTCTGAAACTTTAGCAGATAACGTGATTGTTTTGTTCAAGGATATGAGGAAAAGTGAAGTTTTGCCTAATTATGTGACCTACACTTGTGTTCTGTGCCTGTGTGGCTCAAAATCGATAGTTAAGCTCGGAACTCAGGTTCACGGTTTAGTCGTGAAGTGTGGTTTGGACACAGATTCTTCAGTGGTCAACACGTTGCTCTCGATGTATTCGAAATGTCGTTGCTTGTTTGATGCTCGAAAGCTGTTTGACTCTGTTGACCAACTGAATCCCGTCACCTTTAATGGAATGATCGGAGGATACGTTCAGAATGGGCTAATGACCGAAGCTCTCGATTTGTTCTGTTTAATGTTATCCTCGAACGTGAAGCCCGATTCGGTAACTTTCGCGAGTTTGCTCCCAGTAGTTCCTGAACTGGGCCTTCTCGATTGTGGAAAGGAATTCCACTGTTACATCATCCGACACGAAATATCATTCGATCTATTTTTAAAGAATGCTCTCATCGACATGTATTTCAAATGCAAGCACGCGAAAATGGCTTGCAGAGTTTTCGAATCGAGCCCGGATTGGGACATCGTCGTTTGCACGGCCATGATCTCTGGGCTCGTCCTCAACGGGATGAATTTCGAAGCTTTGGAAATTTTCCGATTTTCGCTCGACCAAAAAATGAGACCCAATGCCGTGACGTTCGCGAGCGTTCTACCCGCCTGCACGGGCCT